CACTCACCTCAGCCTCCCAAAGGCGCGGGATTACAGGCTGAGCCACCGAGCCCGACTCGATGAATAGCTTTTAAGCAGTTTTTATGCTTGCCAGAGGCTTGCAGATTAAAGCATTCTAAAGTAAATTATATGGTATTTGAGAAGATAGTAAATGCTATGTAGAAAAATAAAGTGGGATAGAGGATAAGTAGAGGGGTCAAGTTTTTAATAGGGTGGATAGGGATTATATCACTGAGAAAGTGACCTTTTGAACAAAACTTGAGAGAAAAAGTCACGTGGATACCTAAGGGAAAGTCATTCTAGACAGAGGGAACCACAAGTGCAAAGGCCCTGGTGCAAGACTATGTCTGACTTGTTTGGTGAAGAGGAAATATACACATGAAATTGCGGTGAGGGCAATACAGAAATGTATCACTAAACAATTCTATAAATTAAATATAAAAGTGTTTAGTAGTGGGAAAATATTTCATGACATTTTTTCCCACAAAATATCTTAAGGGAGGTGAGTTTAGATCCAAGTTTCCCAGGAAGTAATTAAATAATTTGGTAAGATGGAAGCTGTGGAGACCATTCTAGATAGAATAATGTGTTTATTAATATAGATTTTTACCTATATTCCAGGTACATAGTAAGGTGTGTGTGTATGTGTGTGTGTGTATGTGTTGACTCTTAATATTAGGAATAGTATGTAGTTTATGTGGGAGAAGTCTATAGCTATTAAGAATGAACTGCCTTGGGTATAATTTGGCTACCACTTTTAGCTATTAAAATCGATCTTTGAAGTTACTATGACATTAAATAGGATTTTTTATCTTTTATATTCTAGATACCAAAATAATTTCCCTTTCTCACCTTGCAATGACCTGGGCTAACAGAAGAAATTTTCCTGCATTACTTGTGAGGATCTTGCATAAATCAAAACTGCGATACTATGGGAAACCTAATAAAAAGATGATTGAACCATACCAGGTACAAGTAATAATAAGATATCATATGTTAATTTAAAGTTATGAATGATAACTTACAGACCTGAATTCATATTATAATAACTTATTTGTTTAAATAACATCCCATAAGATCAGTGTAATAATTTAAAATGTGTATGTGTATATGCAGAAAAGTATTTTTTCACATAATTTATTGTACAAAAAGAAATTGTTCCTGTATTGGTGCTCTTTACCTCCCTTATACAGCTGGTCTCCTTCATGCCTTTTTCTTTATCTTAGCCTTTTCTTCTCAGCTGTGTTTTCTGCACCAACATATAAATATACTCTAGTCTTCCATTTAAAAAAACAGAAAGAAACAAAAAAAAATCTTGCTTAACTTTATGACTCTCCTAGTCCCTCTCTCCTCTTGAGGCAAGCTTCTTGAAAAAGTAGTCTACACTAGGTATTTTCACTTTCTTGCCTTCCATTTCTTAACAAAATTAGTTTGACTTCTTCAGTTCATCATTCACTAATAACCGTCTAGTTTTAAATCACTGTGACACTTCTATTGTCTTGACTCCCTGTGCTATATATTGCTGATTAGATCTACTTTCTTGATATGTTTATGTTCTTTCTTTTTTTACATATTTTATTACTTTTCCCATGTTATCAAAAACTATTTTAGGTGTTTTGTTAAGCTTTTATTATAAAAGGCATACATGCTTATTGTAGGGAATTTAGAAAATGTGGAAAGTTGTATAAAGAGCATGTCACCCAAGATCCTACCATTCAGAGAGAGCCACTATCTAAGTCATATATATGCATACACATATATATCATGTACATGTACATATGTAGCATAAATATCATATATGTGCATATGTCTATGTGTTATATATTGCCTATGACTATGTATGTCATATATCACATTAAATTATCTTACAAAATGGGAACCATATTGTAAATACAATTTTGTATCATTTAACATTTCTTACGTGTTTTCTCGTTATCACTGAAAGTTTTTCATTCAAAGTATAGATTCAATCATATGACATTATAAATTATTCAGTCATCCTCCTATAGGTTTTTGCTTTCTTATTGTTGAAATACTTTCCTCCCTGGATTTTTGACTCCACGTGTTTCTTTGGCCTCCTCCCTCTTTGTGTCTCCATCATCCTGTCCCTGCTTATCTCTTCCAATCTCCTCTCTTCCTGACCTATCCATGCTTCATACTGACTAAATTGCCCTACCTAGAATTTCCTAAAGATAACCAGTTGTTTTCTACCTTTCATATCTCTGTTCATGTTGTTCCTTCTGCCTAGAATGCTCTTCCTCTCAATTCTCATCAGATTGGCAAAAGCACCATTAAGATTCAATATAATGCTTACCTATGCTTTAAGCCTTTTCATGCATAATCATATGCTGTCACTAGAGACAATTAACTAAGTGCTACTCAGGACCCTGGTATATACACTTACATAGGTTTATCAGAGTGTATGTAAAACCCAGTTACACATATTTGTTAATAGATTTGTTAACCTTACTCTACTGTGAGCTCCTACTGACTGTAGGGTACTAGTGTGTTATAGTGATTAAGAGTGCACAATCTGGTTAAGATGAACTGAGTTCAAGTCTCAGCTCTGTCTACCATTTCTTAGCTTTATGATATAGGGAAAAATATTCTTCCTTTTTAGGCCTCATTTTACTCATCTGTAAAATGGAGATACTAATTGTACTTGCTTTATGGATCTTATGTGAGGAATGAATTAGCTAACGTAGATAAAAGATTTACCTATGTTCCAAGCACAGAGTAAGTCCTATATATTTTTTAGCCACCATTATTAGGAATAATGTTTGATTCATCTCTTCATTACAGTGCCTAACATAATGTCTGGAATACTATAGTGACTCAGTAAATGTTTAATGAATAAAGGAATTAATTACCCAAAATGTATATTCATCATTATGAGAAAGAACAGGTCTGAGAGTGTATCATCTTTTTTTAAGTTTTAGTTTGTTTAGGATATAGTTGCATCTTATACAATGTAATTAATGGTCTTCAGTATGATCTTATTCTTATATTAGCAATATTATTCCAGCATAATTTTCACAAAATAAAGTAATGCTTTAAAATATATTCAATGAGATTAAAATTCAGTGAGATGACATTCACTTGTAAACCATTAACACAATCAAGGTACAAAACATTCACCTTATCCTGAAACATTCCCTCTTACAACTTTTAGATATATTCTCCCTCCAATTTAGCTCCAGGAAACTACTAACCAGATTTCTATAGTTATAGATTCTTAAATTTATAATTTATTTACTGAGGGAAGGACTCTACACATACAAAATTATGCTCCATTGATTAACATCATCTTTTAAGAAGAAATTAAGAGCTAAAGAACACTTCAAAGATTACCTTTTAGATAGAATCTAAGTTATCTGTCACTATATTTCCTTTTTTATTTTTTTACTGTATTTTATTATAAAGATGTAGAGTACAAGTCAGGATTAGGTAATATATTTTTTACTGCAATAGATTTCTCTATTTTAACTATACCCAGACTCAGCAATAATGTATGCTGGTGTGAACATTCTCCTTTCTGCCATCAGAATTTTTCAAGTACTATCTCAGAAATAATTCCTATGTCATGTATACCAAGTCTCCACTATCACTATAAGAAGTAAATTAATGTAATCAGGGCATTGTGCCCACTTAGTGATATGTTTGTCCAAAGTTCTATAATGTAAATATCAAGGCCCTCCAGCAGTTTCAACAACCAATGATGTCAAGATTTTCACTTAAAACCTCTAAAATGTGACTTGTCATTTGAGAAATGTATTGAGGGGTTGCTCTGTGTAAGGCATCATGTTAAACATTTTAGGATAGTAAAATATAAATAAAATTTGGCCTGTGCCCCAGAGTTTACAATCACACAGGTAAATAGTACATCTGGTACTTCCATGGATCTGGTAGCAATCTCTCTCTCTCTCTCTCTCTCTCTCTCTCTCTCTCTCTCTCTTTCGAATCAGGGTCTCACTTTGTCACCCAGGCTGGAGTGCAGTGGCACAATCACAGCTCTCCGTAGCCTGGACCTCCTGGACTCAGGTGATCCTTCCACCTCAGCTTCCTGAGTAGCTGGGACTACTGGGGAGCTCCACCACTAATGGTTGCAACTAATTTTTTAGCTTTTTTTTTTGTAGAGATAAGGTCTCACTAAATTGCCTAGGCTGGTCTGGAATTCCTAGGTTCAAGCAATCTTCGCACCTCAGCCTCCCAAAATGCTTGGATTACAGGCATCAGCCACCACGCCAGGCCGCAATCTCTTTAGATCACCAATATCAGCAGAGTTGACAACTGAATTAAAACAAAGAATTAAAATGTAAATGTTATTTTTCATCACTCTAAATTATCACATATAATATGCTATAAATCATCTGTATAGATAAAAGTGGTAAATATGTAGGTGCTTTTACTCTTTTTTTTTTTTTCTAGACCTTTTTGGAAGTTGCTGACAGTTCAGGCACCGTGTCAGTGATTATGTGGAACGCCCTGTGTCCTGAGTGGTATAAAAGTTTGCGGGTTGGTTTAGTCCTTCTGCTTCAAGATTATTCTGTTAAAAAGAGTTATCCATTCAGAATTCAGCCTCTTCCTGTGGATTCACAGATCAGACCAATTTCTACAATGGGTTAAGTATTCAATGAATTTGTTGTCTTATGGCTGTTTTGTTTATATAAATTTGCAAAGTACCATATCGGGCAAAGGACCATAAATATTACTGAAGCTGTTAGATTAGTTTTTTTGCTATAGAAAGGTGAGAAACTAAACTGATATAGATATTGTGACCTACTTGAGAAAATTCAGTAAAAATTGGCAAGAGGAAGCTAATTCAAATGTATTATTATGTCTACCAAATTGTAAATTATATTCTACAACCAAACATATCCAGGTGACAAAATTCCCTTAGCAAGAATTGAAACATTCTTTGTCATTAACAGATAAGGTGATTTTGTTGACACATACTAAATCACTAGAATAGTGGAAATCAAAACCTAACTCTCCTGATACCTAGCCTAGTGTTCTTTCTACTAAATACACTTTTTTTTCTGATGTAAAGGTAATTAATTTAAATCACCGTTTTTATATGGCTGTGGACAAATCTGGCAATGTGTCAGATACTAATAGCTCCTTTTAAAAATTAAAAACAAATGAAAAATAGGACAAAAGATAGCATGTAGTCAGTAGGTAAGTCAGTAGATTAAAAAATTAGCACTTAAACTGAACCAAACACTATGCTACTTCTGCTATATAGAATTATAGGGCCAAATTTTCGTAATGGAAAATCTTTAAGATATGAGAAATTACTTATGCTTTCAAGTAAATAATTATAGCTATAGAAATTATTTTTTAATGGTAGCCTTATGAGAATATATTTAAAGTGTACCTTTCAGTCTTTAAAACAGTTTTACTTCTTATTAATGTTAGCAGCAGTCTCTATTTTCTTTCTTACCTTTTTTGATAAGTCACAGGACTTTTCCCTTGCTTTTTCAAGGTCCAGATAGTAAATATTTTAAGTTTTGTAGGCCATATCGTCTCTGTTGCAACTTTTCAGCTTTGCCTTTGTAGAGTGAAAGCAGCCATATATGATATATATATAAATGGATATGGCTGTATTTCAATTAAACTTTATTTACAAAAGAAGCAGCCACTTACAGGCTGTAGTTTGCCTAGCCTACATGTTTAAGTAGATCTCAACTCTGGCTGTACATTAGCATCACTTGAGGAGCTTTAAAAAACCACTGGTGCATCACCCACAGAGATTCTGATTTAATTACTCTGAGAGAAGAGGACCAAGGCATTAATTGCCATGGCTTTAAAACTCCTTAGCTGATTCTAAGATACAGTCAGGGTTGAAAACGACAGATTTATGATCTTTAAAAATGGCCTATCTCAAACTGATTAATGGTATTTTTCCTAGATTTTTTCTTTATTTTTAATTGACAAATAACAATTGTATATGATTGTGTGATCCAGTGTGATATTTTGATTTATGCATACATTGTAGAAAGATTCAACCAAGCTAATTAACATTTCCATCACCTCACCAACTTATCATTTTGTTGTGATAAGAATGTTAAAAAATCTATTACTTTAGCAACTTTGAAATATACAATAACATTATTATTAACCATGGTCACCATGCAACTTTGTACCCTTTGACCAGTATATTCTTCTTCCCTATTCCTCTTCCCCTACCCCTGCCTCCTCTAGTGACTACTTTTCTACTCTCTGTTTCTATGAAATAGACTCTTTTAGATTCCTGAAAAACATTATGCTAAGTGAAATAAACAAGACACAGGAAAAACAAAAACTGTATCATCTCAGTATAAGAATCTAACAAAGTCAATCTCATAAAAACAAAGAGTGGAAAGGTGAATAATGGTATTCTGAAGGGAAAAAAAGACAGTTCTGTAAATCATGCTAAGCACAGGAGAAATAAAGATAAGTAATATACAGTTCTACCCTTAAAATTAGTTTAATGCAGTGAAAGATATGTAAGACAAACTACAGTCAAATAAAAGACTAATAACAGTATGTATATAAAAATGTGATAGACAAAAGGGAAGAAGAAATGAATGAAAATGTAATTGAGGAAAGAATGGGCCGGAAAGTAGAAGATAGGTTGGAGAGGAGAAAGTGTTAAGTAAGGATTAGGAAAAATAACAGAGTGACTCAAATGAGAAGCATATGTAGTCAGGGGAGAGTTGTTTAGTAAGGGAATAAGGATGTGTGATACCATCTTGGCCTTCTAGGTGTAGATGTTGGAAGACAAACTATTGGGGTCATTTTGTTATTTTTATTTTAAAGATGTGGAGTACAATTCAAGATTAGGTACATAAATGGTCATCATACAGGTGAAGTTTGGGCCTCTTATTGGTCCTCACTTCACCAGGTTTTGGATTTGGTACCCTTGTTTATGTTATATTGTGGTCATTTATCTTGGTTTTTTTAAATATATATTTACACAGGAACTTCCAAGTTAGAGAAACTAAAATGTAATTTTTAAAAGATTGAATAAATGTGAATCTGTAAAGATAGAAATTCTATTGCAAAACAAATATATTGTTTGCTGGTAATTTATGGCTTTTTATATAGTATTTAGCTGGTATACCCAAATAATAAATGTTTTAAAATCTTGGGATTTTCAGACGTATTGCACAATACATATTGAGATGGCAGCATCAGGTGTTTGGGGTTTGAGGGGAGAAGGGCTATTTATTTAATTTGAAACCTTAGCATTTTAGAGCTGGAAAGGACCTTGAATATAATCAAATGATGCTGTACTTATGAAAATGCTTTATGAAATGCAAACTATTTTCTAGGTGCAAGGTAATATCATGTAATACAAACTTTCCTTGCTTATATATGATTAGACTGAAATTCAGAGGCAAAGTGAATTTTTCCAGTCACATGGTTAGCAATAGACAGGACTAGAAAACAAATGTCTTCATTCTGGTTTAAGCATTTTTGCTACACAGAAATTTTTTGGAAAACTCACCAAAAAATAGAAAACCCCAATAGCTCTATAGCCATTAAAGTAATTGAATCAGAGGTTTAAATTTTTCCCACATAGAAAATATCAGGAATACTTCATGTTACAGGCAAATTCTACCAAACATTCTGGGAATAAATCATTCTAAAACTATTCCAGAGAGTAGACTAAGAGGATATATTCTTTTGCATATTCTTTGCTACAAGTATAACCTTGGTAATCAAAACCTAACAAGAATAGTGTGAAAGAGGAAAATTATAGGCTAGCTTTGCCCCACACACACACACACACACACACACACACACACACACATATTTATATTCTGAGTAGAATACTAGCAAACTGAATTCAGATAAGTATAAAAAGACCACATGCTGTGACTAAGTTGTACTGTTCCTCAGCAATGCAAAGTTGGTTTTACATATAAAAATCCATGTGTCCCTCATCATATTAATAAAATAAGAAGATAATGGTCATCCTAATAGATATACAGAAAGCATTTGTTTGAGATTTGATACCCATTCATTAATTTTTAAAAGAAAATAACAAGAGAAGAAACCTTTCTTTTTTTTTTTTTTTTTTTTCTTTTTTTTTTTAGTTGGAGTCTCACTCTCTCGCCCAGACTGGAGTGCAGCTCCCGGCCACCGCAGCCTCGGCCTGCTGGACTCCGGCGATCCTTCTGCCTCAACCTTCCAAGTAGCTGGAACTACAGGCACGCGCTACCACACCCGGCTAATTTTTTGATTTATTGTAGAGATGAGGTCTCGCCAAGTTGCCCAGGCGGGTCTCAAACCCGCGAGCTCAGGCAATCCACTCACTTCAGCCTCCCAAGGCACGAGATTACAGGCTGAGCCACCAAGCCCAGCTGAAGAAACCTTTCTTAAACTAAGAAAGGGTAGTTACAAAATCAAAACAATACAGCAAACACAATTCTTAATGGGGAAAGTTTAGAAACACTCCTTTTAAAAGTGGGGGAAAGTAAATGCCTCCTATTACTGTTTCTACTTAATGTTGTAATGGTTGCCCTACCTAGTGTGAGAGGACAAAATGCTTTAAAGATATAATAATTTTTAAAAACACAAAACTCTCATTGCTCTCAAATTAAATATTCTACACAGAAAATTTTAAATAGCACAAAGTTTTAAAAATATTAAGATATTGCCAAAGTTAGTTACAAGATCAATCTATAAAAGTCAACTGATTTTGTAAACTCCAATAATAAAGTGTTAGAATTTATAATTTTAAAAACATCATTTATGTTGTCAACAATAAGTATAAGGTATCTAGAAATGACTCTAAGAGAAGATATGTAGGACCTGTGTGGAGATTATTATTACACACTAATGAAAGACATTATGAAAGTCTTAAATAAACAAAGAAAAAATAGTCCATGTTCACAGGGTCAGTCTTAGTCCACAAGTGTCTCCAGATTGACTGATGGATTCAGGGCTATCCCATCAGATTTTTTTTCCCAGAACTGCCAAACTGATTCTAAAATTCATATGAAAGTATATAGTTGCCAAGAATAGTCAAGACACTTCTGAAGAAAAAGAATAGGGGGCTAAATAGGAGGTGAAGATTTGTTCTACAAATATCAATAATTTTTATGCAGCTATAGTATTTATGACAATGAGATACTGGTGCAAGTATAGATAAATTGACCAGTAAGTCACAATTCAAAGCCAAGATATAACCCTAAATATACAGAATTTTGAGATGACAAATGTGCTATACATCCCATCAAGGAAGTACGAATTATTTGAGAAGCAGTATTGAGATAATTGATTATATATAAGAAAAATGACACATATCTAGCTGATATATAAAAATAAATACCAGATATATCTAATACTTAAATGTGAAAGGCAAAACTTTTAGATCTTACAGAAGGAAGTTATAGAAAGACTTATAGAAAGTAACTCAGAGAATAAACGTGAGAAAAAGAAGAATTTCTTAGATGAGACACAAGTAGTAGCAATTGTAAAATAAATATTTAGCAACCTAACTACATTAATCTGTGTCCATCAAAAACATCATAAAAGAATGAATAATATCTTTAGATGATGACAGAGAAAAAATAACAAAACAAAATGTAAAAATGAAAAGTCAGGTCACAGACTGGGTTAAAGATATTTGCAATTAAATAATAAACAAAGAATTAATATTTAATATATAAGCAACTCCTGCAAATAAATGTTTAAAATACAAACAATCCAGCAGAAAAATGGGAAATAGACATAAACAGGCATTTCACATAAGAGAATGCATGAGTGAATCATAAATATTTGAAATGTCCAATAAAATTAGAAATAAGGGAAGTGCAAAATAAGATCACAACAAATTGTCATATCACTAGATTGACAAAAAATAAGAAGTTTGCCAATACCAAAGTTTGGAGAGGATATGTTTAAATGGGAATTCTTACACATTGCTTGTGGAAATATAAATAGGTTCATTACTTTAAATAATTTGGAATTTCCCATAGAGTTGAATATTTACATGCCATACAATTCAGGGTTTCTACTCCTAGGTATAATACCTAAGAAAAACATTTCCCTGTGTGCACAGGCAGACATATACAAAAAGCTTTTTTTTTAAAAAAAAACAATCCTGTGTATAGTAGCAGAAACCTGGAAATAATCTAGATGTCTACCAATACAATAATGAATAAATAAATTTTAGTTAGTAAATTGTACTCTATTTAACTCACTGGAACATTTTTCAGTAATGGAAATGGAAACAAAAGAACTACTAATGCAGCTACATGGGTGAATTTTATTTATATAATGTTGAGTGAAAAAAAAGTAGCCATAAAATAATGAATATTGTATAATTTTACCCATATAAAGTTCAAAAACAAAGCCAAAGAGTATTTTGTTTGGACAAAAACATATAAGTGATGTAATCTTTTTTAAGTTAAGGAAATGATAAAACACAATATTCTCAAAATATGGTTAACCTTTGATGGGGATGTAAGTGGATGTGATAATAGAAGTAGCCAAGGACCTTTGACAACAGTCTAGTTCTTGGGTTTAGTGGTGGGTTCAAAAATGGTCTATTATTTTGCTATGTAATTTATGTACATGTATATTCTTTAGTATGTATTAAATATCATATTAAAGCTATAAATATATATATTTTTTCAGAAATCTGCCTGAATCTTCGAGATCCTCCAACAAATATAATTATCATTCCAGAAAAGCAGGTGAAACCAGAATGGGGATTGCCAAAATTAAATCACCGATTTGCCACAAGGTAAAATAGTTTCTTTAAAATGTCTTAAATGTTAATCTTCAATGTTCATTACTAAAAATTAATGCATTAAAATTAGCTCAAAATCTACCCAAAATTATGCTGTAGCAATTATGCAGAGATGCATTTTCAAAATCATAATTGTAGAACTTTTTTACTGTTTAAAGATACCATATCTATTTAATAATTTTGCTTTTTTAGATCAGAACTGGATGATATGCCAGAAAATCATATCTGTGATGTTATTGGCATCTTAGTTTTTGTAGGAAGGGTTCAGCGGTCAAAAAAGAAAGGTAAGCTTTTAAAATTGAAAATTAGAAAAAAAATATTTCAGTGACTAGTTCTGTGTTCATATATATATAATCATTTACCTTCATTTATTTTAATATTCTATTCATATAGAAAGCCGTGAGGATTTTTGGTCATATCGCTGGATACACATTGCTGATGGGACTTCAGAGCAACCATTTATAGTGGAACTGTTTTCTACATCCCAGCCAGAAATCTTTGAAAATATTTACCCAAGTACTCAATTCTTAATTTCTCTCTCTCTCTTTTTTTTTGAAGTAAAGGCATTAATTTAAAAAAACAGAGTAAGCTGACTTACAGAAGTGGGATGATGTTGAGTTAGCAAATTCAAGCAGTCTGACAGCATGTTTAAATCTTTTCTATATTAAGATATATTATGTATTACAGATATTAACCACCTGCTGGTTGTCTATTCAGAATTAATTTAGGATTGAAACCAGTTCATTTCAGAAAACAAGTTCTCTTAAGAATTCTCATTATTAAAACTGCACACAAAAAATCTTAAGACTCAATAAAACTAAAACATGGGCAGTCAGTTCCCTTTGTATTCATTTGGAAACTGAATAAGTGGATCTCATTAAAGACATCAAATACTTTACTAATGTGGCATTAATTGATAGATGATTGGCAGACTATGCAATTAAATAATGACAATGGTAAATATTATTCCATTTGAATATTACATTAATATTAGGTTACTCATGTTATACCAACCGGTCAACATTTTACTTTGGCTTACTTTGGCATTGTCTTTTCCCCCTGCATTCATTTAGATAGAAAGGTATTTTTCTACTAGTTTTATTTATTTGAAAATATTTTAGGTATGCCCTGTTATATATTTTATATAACATAACAAGTTAGTCTTCAGATCTATCATGATAAAAAGTATACTTAATACTTCTCAGCAATTTCGGTGAATAATTCCTTACTTGAATTCAGAAAATAAAGCTATTTTAGATATGGTATGCTATTTTATTATTTCCCAAATGGTTACATGAATAAATACTGATCATTACTTGTGTTAAATGCTTGCCAATATTGAGGAAACTCCTAGTATTTACGACATCTAATTTTTAAACCAGCAATAAGATAGAAATTGTAGAACACCAAGAGAGCTAACGACAATATACAGGACTTCTGCTGTCCCTTTATTCCCTACACAAAACAGTATTACACCCCCCTGCTTCATTAGATTCCACCCTAGGCTTGTGAGATCAAAATTATTTAATATATCTAAATAGAACTGAACCTCACCCCAACCTTTGGGGAATGGAACAGAAAGAATTTTTGCCATAACCAAGGCATGGGCTTCCAAGGTAAGTAGGCTATGACCTCTCATGCAACTTCTTTTAGGGCATGAGTGTCAGTGAAGACCTCTGGTGAAAATTTCATGTCTCATATTTGCTAGGTTTTACTGCCAGGTTTGTTTGTAACCACTTTAAACAACAAGCTGACACAAGTTTTAGAAAAAGTTTCTCACAGAAACTTTGCCAAGCACGTATACTCTATTTCTTGTGATAATATGAACTAGAGCTTTCTAAGAAAGGTATATACAGACTTTGTTGAGATTTATTTTAGTATAATAGTTGACAGCAATCACAATTTCTTCTCATCTTTTGGCCAAGAGTGAAGGAAACAGTTGTTAAACAAATGGTGATTTTTAAGGGGACTTCAGGCCTATGAAGAGGAGCATGACCAAGGGTCTTCTGGAATAATACCAAAATCTTTTGGTAGTATGACTTTTTTAAAATAAAGAAAGTGAAGAACTAAGGGAAACTAATATTGTGTGTTTACAGTATACCAGATGTTTTATAGATATTATTTCATTTTATCTTCTTGCTTACTGTGTACCAGATGCTTATAGATATTATTTCATTTTATAGTCGCAGTTACTTTTTAAAGACTTGATGTTGTCACACATTTTCAGGTGAGAAAGCAAAGATCCAGAGGGGGTCAAGTAATCTTGGATTTCAAACAGCTAGAACGTGTTAGATCTGACTCTCAGATTTTTAATGGCCATGATATTAAAATGGTTTGTTTATTTTTTCAATTTTTATTTCATTGTGGTAAGAACATGTAACATGAGATCTACCCTCTTAACATATTTTAGAGGTTACTTTAATATTAACATCTTTAACCATTAATATTTACATTTGTACAATTTTTTAAACGAAATAAAAGTGAAAAATTAAGATAATTCTTAGCATTTAAACATATTTTAATTTTATTGCTACAGAATAAAGAACTAGTAAATATAAGCTGTAGCAAATGAATCTATAGTTATGCTCTGGAGAAAATTGTATTCTAAAATGAGAACTTACTTTTGTGTGATTATAAGAATTTACATTAATTTCTTCATTTCCTAGTTTGTAACATAATTCATGAAAATAAATGCATGCAATTAATTAAAATAAAAAATATTGAATGAAACTTTAGTAACTAAATAACCAGATAGTTAAAAACAATCTATAACTTTTGAAAGTACTTGAAATCTGAAGACATCATAACCTCATTTTCAGGGATTATTTTTAGCCTATCAAGTTATATATATATCAAGGAAATAAATAGATGTTATAAGCCCTGTCACTGGCCTTAAGGTTTAATTAAGATTAATACATTAGCGATAATAAAATGCTTCATAAGCAAATATAAATGAATACTGTTTAGCCCTATCCAGTGGAAGGAGTAATTTGAGACTCTGTGTTAGACTGCGTTAATCAATAAAAATATCATGGTGATACCTGGCTTTTTTCTCTGTAGGAAATATCTGTTCACACCCAGTTGTATAACCAATTAAAATGATTCTTGCACTCTTCATCTGTGCAACAAGCAAATGACTTTACTTAGGTAGAGCTGTTGTACTGTCTAAAGGAAATGCCTCTGGTATTCTGGTAAGCTAGTGTTAGATTCCTATTGCTCCAAGTGCCCTCAGAGGACTGACAGCACTAGTAATCACCAAGGAGCTTATTAGAAATGCAGAATCTCAGGCCCCACCCTAGATCCAGTGAATCTGCATTTTAAGAAAAGTCCCATGTAATTCCTTTGTTCAATAAAATTTGAGAAGCATTGTGTTAGGTCCTGATCTTGGCATATCCTTTTTGAAATGCAAAAGTAATTTTAATTTCATAATAATTTTTATTTTCTACAGTGACATATTTTGTATGTACACAGTTGAAAGTTGTCAGAAATGACACTCAAGTACCTAAACTGCTTTATCTCACCACTACAAATGAGAGTCGAGTGTTTATTACTGGTGAGTAATTTCTTTGTGTATACTTTGTTGGAAATATATTTTCTCTCCACTAGAATTCTTTAGTACATATTAACTTTTACATTATAACATTCAACTACAAGACAGATTTATTTTTATCTTATCACCATAAGAGTGTTTTAACAAAGAATATTTGACCTATGAAGCATATTGTTTCTAGATTATTTATGATTGAGGCAGTGATTTTGCGACTCACTGGAGAATTGATTTATATCATTTGGTTATCCTTAATTCTTGCTTGATGTAGAATGTAGATAATCATAAATTGCTTGATAAATTGAAGACCATTAGGCCTGATACCATGATATGGATTAAGTTAACAAATATTTTAAAATACTAAATAAAACAAAAATAAGTGTCAAATGTCAGCCCCAAGATCTTATATTTTATTTATACAGCAGGAAGAGTCTCACTATTTGTCTACAAATATATTATTTTTCCCCATTCCCTCCAGTATCAGGGTCAAAACAATTAAAACAAAAGTTTCCAAATGAGAAGGTGAGGGAATAGTGTGGAATAGGATGTGTATGAGAATGCTACCATATTAGTAATTAAGAAATTTGTCGAAAAGAAGAGTCTTAGGGAAGGTGTAACATATCTTTGTCAATGTGTACCTAAACTACTATCAGATGCAAATATGGCACTTTTAAGTATGCTTTACAAACATAAATTTGAATGCTGAGCTGTATTCATAGGCACTTTAGTTCATACAGAATGCCATACTTTCAAGCTACTATATAGGTTAAATTTGGATAACTAGAAAAATTCAAATCATTCGCTTTTTTTTCCCTGTGGTTTTTAGTATCCTATAGACAGCTACAGTTTAGTCCACTTAAACTCTAATACACATCATAACTAATTTCCTTCTCAGGTTTTTTTTTTTTTTTTACAGTCTTTGGATAATTATCTGCTACATAGTGAATAGTAAACTTTATTTTTTTCTGGGCGATATAAGAGAGACTGTTTTACTATTAAACTTTTTATACAAAAAGTTCATGAAGGTTATTACAGTGACCTTTTTATTTCTCACTTCCTTTATGGTTTACCCTTCTTGTAAGGAGGTCACAGAGGCCAGCCGTATACCTACGATACCAAGGTAAAAAACTTTATTCAGTGGATTAAAACAAAGACCGATTCTGGGGAAGTGAAGAATACCGTTATTGGTGGATATTACCCCTATCCACCAGTGCCAGAGACATTTTCCAAGTATAGTAGTTCTGTTAAAGGTACTAATGTACTTGCCAGTCCTTCCTGATATGTTTATGTGTTATACATATGGTATATGCTATTTGTTAGTCATCTTTATTCTTTTCTTTTATGGGAATGAGTCAAAATGCAGCAAATGTTCATTGATAATAATTTTGTCTTAATTTAGACCTAAAAATAAATGTCATTCATCCTAAAGGTTAATATTTTGATTATATTAGACTGGAAAAAATGAGAGAAGGTGGAAGATGACTAACTGGAGATACAGGTTGAATATCTCTAATCCAAAAATCCAAAATTCTAAATGTTCCAAAATTAGAAACTTTTTGAGTGCCAACTTGACACTTAAAGGAAATACTTACTTGGGCAGTTTGAATTTGGGTTTTTAGATTAGGGATGTTGAACTGGAAAGTATAATGCAAATATTCAAAAAAAATCTCAAAATTTGAAACTTTCTGGTCCCATGCATTTTAGACAGGCGATTCTCAACCTCTAATATCTTGACTCAATGTCATTGAGATCAGATGTCATTTTGATAGATCTCAACTCCTATATTACATAGAAAGACTAAAGATATCTAAAAGAGACACGGAGTAATCTGATATTCAAATACTAACAATTGTATTATGCTACTATTATTGAATGATACATACTGTGTTTAACATATTGAGTGCTACCTTTAAATTATGCCAAAATAAATGAGATGCTAAATTTGGAATTCATAAGAGGCCTAATATTAATTTACTTTTTAGGAGAATTAATATGACAATTGAAAAGTTTAACATAAGTATGTTCATTTACAAAGTTATGAAATAATTGCACAGTTTTGAAAAAATAGAGAAACTTTGAAATGGCAACCTAGCAGGGCTCGGTGGCTCAGCCTGTAATCCTGTGCTTTGGGAGGCCGAGGTGAGTGAATTGCCTGAGCCCGCGGGTTCGAGACCCGCCTGGGCAACTTGGCGAGACCTCATCTCTACAATAAATAAAAAATTTTAAAAAATTAGCCGGGTGTGGTAGCGCGCGCCTGTAGTTCCAGCTACTTGGATTGCTGAGGCGGAAGGATCACCGGAGCCAGCAGGTCGAGGCTGCAGTGGCCGGGAGCGGCCACTGCACTCCAGTCTGGGCGACAGAGTGAGACTCCAACTCAAAAAAAAAAAAAAAAAAGAAAGAAAGAAAAGAAACACCAACCTAGTGTCATCTAAATTTTGGCATCCTCTTGTACATCATAATGCTAGCAATATGTAGTATATGGTTAAAATTATTAAAATGTGTTTTTCTGTGCAAGAGCTAGACAACACTTTATAGTTTAAAATATAATATACAAATTACATTCAATATGCAAAATATTTTTTTACAAATGAAGATTCCAGACTGGAAGCCTGTATTACAACTTAACTGATAAATGTGTTTTGCCTATTTCTCAAAAATTATATTAAGGGCATGCCAAATATAAGCACAAAGATTCACAGATTTAAGTTAATATAGTAAGTTTATAATTTCATGTTGTGAAATTATATTGCAAATCTAATTCTTATTTTTATCATTTCAGTTCTATAAAACTTACAATTTCTTTGGAATCTTTTGCAGTTGAGTCGCTCTTGACAGCTATAAGTGAAGTGAGGAAGGAGATTGAAGACTTGCAGTATAGGGAACAAAAGCGCATTGCAATTCAGGGGATAATTACTGTTATAAAGTATATCCCCCATAGTGGTGCAACTGAAAGTGCCTCAGCATCAGAAACACTTCGGGTATGGTGCCAGAGAATTAATAGTATTTCTCTGAAAGCACTGTGATCATAATTACAATTGGTACCTTTTACATTTTATTCAGAACTCACATGTATTGACTCTTAATGATGTAAACCTAAGAGAAAATTTTTGTTTGTTTGTTTTTTGTTTGTTTTCTCTTTCTGTCATTTATTTTGGGGCTGACTGAGCTAATAATGGTCACAGACTCTAACATTTCCCAAGGCCCTCAAAACTTGGCATCTTGTTATTGCTTTCTGTATAATTTGAGCCTATCAGGAATGTTTTAAACTTCCAAGTGGTATATATGACTACATTCACTTTTTGCCTTTTGTCCAGGCCAGTACTAAAGGAAAGCTTCCATGGGAAGTTTTTATCTTTATATCTGGCATGGTAGTCTGACACAGATTCTATAAAAGATAGCAATAACTCTTTGTGGGATAAATGGTCTAGTTGAAGAGGCCAGTTCTGGAATCTAGGCAAAATCAAAACAAACAAGTTAATTGTTTCCTTGAGTTTATCTTTTTAAAATTTATGTCTAGGATTATCACTATTAATATGTAATTAAATGCTTAATCCAACTTTTCAGTTATACTAATATGAGAAGGACTTGTTTATTCCTTTTAAAAATATTTTAGTAGCAGATTAATCATATTTATAAAAGCACTGTTATGATTGCAAAGTTTTGCCAGAACTCTTAAGATTATGAAAAATGGACAAACTAAAATTGTAGAATCTTTTATGAGAGAAATAATTTTTGTGAATTAATTTAACATGTTTTCTCTAAATTGTTGGTTTTAGAATGCTAACCGACCCTCAACATCTCAAGCAGCTAGAGGAGAAAGTCAAAGTCAGGAAAGAAATGTTAAACGGCATCAAGACAATGGGCCAATGAGTTCTCAATGTATGCAAACTGCATCTACAAGTTTGAGTCTGAGCAATAAAGTAAGAATTCTTCAAGGTCCATGTTCTAAACCGTAAGTCATTATATAAAGTATATGCAAAGCATTTTTTTCTTTTGGCTTAACTCTGCCCTATAAAATAAGCAATTAGTTTAGTTTGTATTAGTTTTTTAGGGCTGCCATAAGAAAATACCACAATTAAGTGGCTCAAATACAGAAATTTGTTGTCTCATAGTTCTGGAGGCTAGATACCTCAAGATGTCGACAAGTTTGGTTCCCTGTGAGGGCTGTGAGGAAGAATCTGTTCCATGCTTCTCTCCTAGCTTCTGCTGGTATGCTGGTAATCTTTGGAATCCCTTGACTTGCAACACCCCAATCTCTGCCTTCATCTTCACATTGAGTTCTCCCTGCATTGCATGTGTCCAAACGTCCCCTTTCTATAAAGACATAAGTCATATTGGCATAAGGGCCCACTCTATGCCAGTATGACCTCGTCTTAACAAGTTACATCTGCGATGACCCTATTTCCACATTCTGAGGTACTGATGGTTAGACCTTCATCATATGAATTTTGTGGGGTACAATTCAACCTATAGCAGTCTGCTTTCTAGCTCCCTAAAATCTGTGCCCTTCTCATGTGCAAAATACATTCACCTCTTCACAAGATCCCCAAAAGTCTTAACCTATACTTGCATCAACTCTAGTCCAAAATTTCATCTAATATGATCTAAACTGCATATGGATGTGATTCATTCATTAATGATCATGATGATTTATCCTGGGGCAAAATTCTTCTCTATCTGTAAACCTGTGAAATCAGACAAGTTAACTGTTCAAAATACAGTGGTGGGATGGGCATAAGATAGACATTTCCATTCTTAAAGAGAGGAGTTCGAAGAGAAATGGGGGTTATCGGTCACAAGCAACTCCAAAACCTAACAAGGCAAATTCCATTAGTCTTTAAAGCTTCAGAATTATTCTCTCTTACTCAATGTTGTATTCTCTGGGCCCGCCAAGGCAGAAGCCCCATTCCTTCAGCCTTGGGTGGTGGCCCCACCCTCTGGAACCAAAAAAACCCTCTGGAATTGTAAAGGTGGCTCTGTTTTCTGGACCCAAGGAGGTAGTCACACCCACCAGGGTCATTCTTCTCTTTTCTTGAAGAATAACACCTGTTTGCAGCCAGGTGACCAAATAAGGTCATATTCTGAAGTACCAAGGGTTAGAATTTCAAAAATATAAATTTGGGGGGACACAAGTTAACCTTTAACAGAAGCCCCCTAGCCCCCTTATCTGCCATGTTCGGTATGGACTAATTAAAAATGAGTTTAAAATGGGGAATTATTTTTTTAAATAAATATTTTTATTTCAGCCTTTTATTTTAATTTAAAACATTATAGCTTACATTTGTTTGCCAGTTGTTTAAGCAAGGCACTTTCTAACATAAGCTTTATCTATTATGAATTGTATATGATAAACAGTTTTGGTTTCTTTAAAGTATCAGGAAGCCCCAGACACTAATAAAACAGTCAGGATACAGAAACATTTCAGATTCTAATACTTTTTTTAAACTCCAATGTTTTATAGTTGCCAACCACAGAGCTCCACCAAGCTTTACTTTCCAGAGATTCTTTCAAATTTCATTTTATGTAGACATGATTGATCGACTCATTGGCCCTGTGATTGAAGTCAGTATTCAGCCTCCCTCCCCTCCCCAGAGGTTGGGTTAGCCCATAGTTCCAATCCTCTGGATTCCAGGAGAAAAGAGCACTCAAGCTTCGCATCTCTTCTCAGATCTTGCCCTGTATGTGTCTTCATTTGGCTTATCCTTTTCTGTATCCTTAGTAATAAAACACTGATTGTTAAGTATAGCACAATCCTGAGTTCTGTGAGTTGTTCTAGTGAATTATCAAACTTGAAGGGTTTGGGGGAATCCCTGAATTTATAGCCAGTCAGTTAAAAGTGCAGGTGCCCTGGGGGTCCCCTAAAGTGTGGCTAATATCTTAAGCAAGGGAAGTCTTATGGAGAACTGAGCACTTAAGCCTGTATAGTCTGATGCTAACTCTGGGTAGTGTCAGAATAGAACTGCAATATACCCAGTTAAAGGGGAAACAAGAGGCCGTGTTTGGTGGCTTAGCCTGTAATCTCAGCACTTTGGGAGGCCTAGATGAGTGGATTGCCTGAGCCTGTGGGTTAGAGACCAGCCTAGGCAACAGAGTGAGACTCCACCTCAAAAAAAAAAGTGGAAACAAGAACTCAATGAACTCTACTGATAAGTTTAATAGTAATTGAAAATAGTAAAAAAAAAAAAAAGTAAACAAAAAGATATGTTAATAGAAAATATCCACAATCCTCTAATTACTTGGTTGGTCTTTCTGGTGACAAGCCCCCATCATGAAACTATCTAGCAACCTAGTTACCTCATTAGAATAACAAAGGTAGTCTTATCACTCAGAAAATTCCAAGGGTTTTTGAGGTTCTGTGCCAGGAACCCAGGACAGTAGCTCCTTGTAAGAAACTCCATATAAGAAGCCGGGCTCGGTGGCTCAGCCTGTAATCCCGTGCCTTCGGGAGGCTGAGGTGAGTGGATTGCCTGAGCCCGTGGGTTCGAGACCCGCCTGGGCAACAAGACCTCATTTCTACAATAAAAAAAAAAAAAAAATCAGCCAGGCGTGGTAGTGCATGCCTGTAATTCCGGCTACTTGGAAGGCCAAGGCGGAAGGATTACCGGAGCCCAGCAGGTCAAGGCTGCGGTGGCCGGGAGCGGCCACTGCACTCCAGTCTGGGCGCCGAGTGAGACTCCAACTAAAAAAAAAAAAGAAAAAGAAAAGCAGAAGGCACCATAGGAAAGATTTCAATAACAATTGTTTCCTGAAAAGCATTTGTTAATTTCAATTAATGATCACAAAAGACTTACGCATGTATGGGCATTATAAACGATTTCTGATTTTCTTATATTAGCAATTTCACAACAAACTTCATATTCTTGTCATTTTTGTATAATGTCTGCTTTTCTTAGGCAGAAGACACTGAAAACGTTCTTTCAGTTGATTGTACAGAGCATTTTAACACACAGAGCAAGATGACTTACATTATCTTATTTGATCTTCAACTTCCTTGTAAGGGAGGAGAAGGATAATTATCTCAGTTTTATAGATATAGATGGTGAATTTTAAGTTCATAAAGGATAAAATATAGGATTTATACATGTGCATATTAAGTACTTTTAATTTCTTTGCATAAAAGACTTTATAAGACTACAAAAATACTAACTATACTTATTATATAGATGAGGAAATTACATATTATAGAATCTATATGACTTCTGCCTAAGGTTAATAAATTGCTAATAATGGCAAGATTAGAATATAACTTACAACCCCTGACATAATTTTTATAATATTCTGCCATAATATTATAATTAGATTAAAATTAATATTACAATTATATTAAAATTATAAAATAATTCTTATAATATTATTTTATAATAATAACATCATATATATCGTTAGCTTCTTTTATTCCTCTTCACTCTTTTCTATCCTTAGTTATCTTTCTTTTCTTTTTTTCATTTTTGTCTTACTTTTTTCAATTTCCTGGGTTGATACCTATGCACATTGTATAGCTCCATATCTGTCATTCACCCTCTCATCTTTAAGTCATACAAATGAATGATTATGTATTCCAAGTAAAAAATCTCCCAAACCAGGTTTTTAAAAAATTCTATATAATATTGAAAAGGTAAACTGAGGCAAGGTGGGCTGTTGCCTTGGTAATAATGCAAGATTGCAACAAGGAAGAAAGTATAAAGAAGTAAAGTTTATTATTCACCTTTCACAGACAGTAGGGGGCCAACACTCCAAGGCAAGTGTGGCATGGCAGGCTAAAGACTAGGAATATTTAAGGGCTCTAAAGCAAACCCCTACAGCAAAGGGGCTTAGACCTGGAGGAAGTTTAGCCCAAAGGGAGTGTACAAAATTGTATTCTTTGGTTTCTATAGCAGTCACATAAATTAAATATTGTGACATTGACATTATGTAGTGTTCCATGACCTCAGGTGGTGGGCTGGGGTAGTCATGGTTGGATAATAACAATATATAAGCATGCCTGCTGGTGGTGTGCTGGAGGACTTCACAGGCAGCTGATAACAAAGTATTGATACAAATGTCTAAAAAAGATAAATTGTCAGCAAGCAGGGCATGCTCAAGGGGTTCCATGTAATTTCTAATTTCTAAGACTAAAACATTCTTTTTCATTAATGATTACATGGCAAAAAGCGTTTGGGGCATGCAGGCTGTGTAGCAAGGGGATTTCAAGGGGTGAGGCCTAAGCAAAATGGCTGTGCTGTTTTGAAATGGCTTCATTAAACTAAGTATACTCTGTACTTTAAAGGTTCCCTCTTTTCAAATATAATGAGAATATTAGAGTTTGGGAAATGATTTTTTTCTAATTTATTTCAGATTAAAAAATCACTTTATAATCACACTTTTTAAAAAGTATATACATGTTGTTGAAGGCTATCAAAATACATGTAATTTAACTACTTTAGTTATTTTGATTTCCCTCAGAGTTTAAATTTTTTATTTACTAATTTCTAGGAATACTACATTTTTATTAATTGAAAATTTTTAAAAATACACTAAAAATATGTTTCTGCCAGAATTCTATAGCTAAATTGTACATTTGTCCTCGTAAACCCTACTTCTTTCTAATTCACGAATAACTGCCTAGTGGAATTAAGAATACTATAAAAAATAAATATATTGATAAAATAAGTAGAGCAATGTTATGTGGCATTCTACAACATGACATCTCTGTTTTACTATTTGCCTTTAGTTTTCAAAATACAGCAATAGGATAAGGATAAAACTTTTCACAGTCGTATGCTAAAAACCCATAAGATGGAAATCTTTCCTTGTAAAAACATGCTTCTCCTTAGCTTCAAAATAAGATGCTTCCTCTTTTCTCCACTCGAAAACAAAATAAAGTCTATACTTTCATAGAAAGATTAGTCTGGTAGAAGAGACCGACTTATACACCTGTAATTTCAATACAGTGTGATGAATGCCATAACAGATGCTTATTCATAGTGCTATAATATGAGCAGTTAATGTTGACTAAAGATTGGGGAGACTTCTTGTAGGAAATAATGCCTGAGCTAAATTTGGAAGGATTAATAAGAGCTAACCAGGGAAAGAAAAGAGGACAAAGATTGTTCCAGGCAAAAAGAAAAACGTGATGGTTTAAAGCAGCTTGGAACTAATAAAATACTATATGAAATGATGTTGGAAAGATAGGCCAGATTGTTTTCCATAATTTTTAAACAACACAAACAAGAAAACTAGGCCATTGTGCTGATTTTTGAATTTTCACTATAGAGAGTGAAAATATTTCCATCTTCAGTTGATATTTAATAAAGTTAAATGCTCCCTTTTATGGAATATTTCTTAAAAGAAAATGTAAATCTATTGCAGTATTTGAATTATATTATGTATAGACTTTTTCATAATTAATGTATTTTAATGCACTATTTTAAGAAATTTAACCTGTATATTGCCTAAATTTATTGAATTAGAATAAATTCTTAATAGAACCAGTTAGAGTTGGTTTTTATTGAAGCTCTTTTTATAACTATTGGTTATATTCTTTGTATTGTTTGTAGGGTTGCTGTACCTCAGCCAGGAGCTTCTGCACAAACAAAAGAAAATAAAACCAGCACGCCAAGCATCTTTCAACGTATGTAACTGTTGTTTATTATTATTTATGAATACTTTATGAAACATTCTTATATTCAGATTACTGTTTGCATATGGTAATATTGCTTTGAATATACAAATATTAGCTTGGATCACTGTCAAAAGTACTGACCAATTTGGTATCATCCCAAAAGTGAAAGTAATTATAAACAGACATGCATACCAATTTGTTTCTTTAGTAATAGTACATCCCTTCAAATGTATGGTTTTTAATTAACAAAAGAATAATTAAGTAGGAAATTTAATTGTTTAAATTTTTTTATATTCCAAAATATTTTATTTATTTATTTTTATTTTTTATTTTAAAGATGTGGGGTACAGTTCAGGGTTATGTATACAAATGGCCATTGTAATTTTTAATTGACAGTAAATATAGGTAAATATTAAAAGTAAGTTGTTTCTTTTTTTTGCTATTGGATTAACTGGCTTTAACTTTGGATTAATTTCTGAAGTGATCTCATAATACAATTTTGTTCTAGTTGGGTGTCTTTGGAGTGGTTTGGTTTGAATCAGAATCTTATAAGGGATCATCTCTCTGGACTAGACTTTTTTAGCACTTTATCTTCTTCTTGCTTATGGTGTTATTCTTATTTTCTTTTCATTTTCCACCTAGACAGAATCGATACTATCATTTTATTACATACTTCCTTGTTAAGTTTGATATCCCAATGAAGCTTCCATAGTATTTGAATGTGTTTTTAATTTTTTTAAATGTTACTCTTCTGCACTAACCTTATCTACTAGATTTATGACGGTTGACTGATAATAGATTTTTATTCATTTCTCATGTCATAGTCTAAACAGACTAATCTCTGTATAAGGCTGAATACTTTGTCTAAAAGTGTCAATGAGCATTTTAGATGATCTCAGTTTAAAAAAATGGGACATGGAGAAAAAGATTATCTTCCATAGCTAAGCATAATTTGAAATTTAAAAAGTTTCTCAGAAAATGGATCTGACCTAGACTCTACATTCTAAACATGAAGGAGAAAAACATAATTGTTTTGAGTTTTGTGATTCTCTGCTGAATATCCAAGAAAGCCAATTAATTTTTTATTCTTCATTTTGTCAGCTTGGTAACTAAACTTCAAAGAGGTTTTTATATTAGCAGGTGCTTAGATTATCTCATTTGTTTTGCCTATGGGAAATAACATGGTACTTACCACAACTATGTATAATAGCACCAGCCATTTATTAAACATTTATGTGCCAGGAACTGTGCTGAGCTTATCACATAGAGAATGATTATTTGATATTAATCTCATATTTTCTTTCCTAGTTCATACTGTTTTGGAGAAGGCTTTTGTTTAGCTATAACTTTATCATTTGCTTGCTAACTAAAATTAAAAGTAGAATCGATTAAGTCTTAGTATAGAAAAATAAATAAATACAGGAATAGTCTACTAGACCTGTAGTAAAAAGAGGAACTGATTTCTGGTCAATCTGGCTGATTGAAAACCCACAAAGGAATCTGGGATCTCCCCTTCCCCCTGGAAAAAAAACATATGCAATTAGAGAAAATATCTATAAGTAAATATAAAATCAAGTTCAAAACAAGGATGAAATTCCCAGTTGCCAGAAACAAAAAAGGGAATTTAAATTTGGTAATGAGTAGGAACCAAAACTAAAACTGCTCATGGGCATTTCAGAACTAAATAGGGGCCTTAATTAGCATTGGCTGAGGTATAGTAACCACAAGGGAAGGAGAGTCCAGACTACAGGCTGCCTACATGTGAAGTAGAACTAGTAAAAAGTTGGTAGGTTATGGAGGGCCGGAGAAATTATGTCCATCAGTGTAGAGCTTCCTGTATCCCCTAGGTAATGAGTATGAAAACGTCATCTGAGAGAAATTGGAATCCCAGGTCTGTGCAACATCAACGTGTGGTCACATTTCACGTGACTAAAATGGTAAGGACACTGAACTAGGGAATTAACACTAATGTCTGGTGCAAAATTAGTGAAATCAAAACCCTAAGGTCATGACAAAAACAATTATGAAACTCCCTAAAAGGGAGGTTTCTCGTGACTAGAGTTCTTGGGAATCCCATGTCTGTAGGCATGGAAAACGATGTCTACAGAAAATGAATTCATGGTTAAAAAATTACAAACTTCCCAAGAAAATGAACTACTTCTTTAAGGCAATGTGATCAGATGTAACACATGAGAGGATTTATACCCCAGGAACTAGAAATACCAAGCCAATCAGAAAGAGGCTTTAAAATAAACGTGTTTAAAAAGTTAAAGAAATAAATAAAAAATCATAAGTCAGGAACATATCAATATAAAAAAACAACTGACATATATGAAAAATACACATGCACACACACACACACACACACACACACACACACACACACACACACAGGACTGGTTGAAGAGTAGACAAATGCAGATGAATACATAGATTCTATTTATTGTTTCTCTGTTATATATTTGCTCTAACATTATTCTTTCTCTTAATTTTGGGTTTAGTTTTCTCTTTTTCTAATTTCTCGAAGTATACAGTTAGGTTATTGCTTTGATATTTTTTATATCAGAATTTACAGTTATAAATTTTCTTCTGAGCACAACTTTCACTACATCCCATAAGTTTGTTTGTGTTGAGTTTTCTGTTCTTTTTTTTTTTTTTTTTTTTTTTTTTTTTACCTCAGATATTTTCTAATTCCCCTTGTGATTTAGTCTTTGATCCACTGGTTTTTGTTTTTGTTTTTGACTTATTAATCATAACCTTTGCTTTTCCTTTTTTTAATTTTAAAGATGTGAGGTACAATTCAGGATTAGGTATACAAGTGGTCATCATACAGGTAATGTTTGGGTCTCCCTTTGGTCCCCACTTCACCTGGTTTGAGATCAGGTATGCTTATTGATGCTGTGTTTTTGAGAAGAATGTGTACTCTACTGTGTTGGGTGAAGTGTTCTACATATGCCTGTCCTAATTGGCTTACAGTGTTGTTTAAACTTCTTTCCTTAATCATCTTCTATTTACACGTTCTGTCCATCATTCAAAGTGATGTATTGAAGTATCCAATTATTATTACAGAATTTTCTATTTCTCCCATCAATTCTGTCAATGTTTGCTTCATACATTTGGGGGCCATTTTTTAGGTGTATATAACTTTATAATTTGTTTCTTCTTGATATACTGACCCTTTTATCAGTAGATAATATTCTTTGTCTCTTATAGGAGTTTTTTTAAATTTCTTTTTACTTTAAAGTATATTTTGTCTGATATTAAAATAACTTTTCCGTCTCTCTTTTGGTTACTATTTACATGGAATGGATTTTACATCCTTTTAATTTCAAAACGTTTGTGTCTTTGTGTAAAGTGAGTTTCTTATAGACAGCATATATGTGTATCATGTTTTCTTTTTATTTGCCAATCTCTGACTTTTAATTACAACGCTTATTCTATTTATATTCAATGTAATCACTGATAAGGAAGGACATATTTCTGATATTTAGTTCTTTGTTTTCTGTATGTCTTATATCTTTTTTGTTTCTCATTTACCACCTTACTGCCTTTTTGTGTGTGTTAAGTTGATATTTTTTGTAGTGAACTGTTCTGATTCCATTCTCATTTCCTTTTGTATATATATATTTTAGATACTTTATTTGTGGCTACCATAAGGATTAAATTCAATATTCTAAATTTATTATAACCATGCAGTTTGAATTAAAAGCAACTTCAATACCATTTTAAAAATTCTACTCCTATACAGTTCTTCTTCTCCACCATTATTTATGTTGTCATCATCACAGATTATATCTGTATACATTATATGCCCTAAAACATAGATTTATAATTATATTTTATGCACTTTATACATGTTTGTTTTCATATGGAAAATAAAAAGTTGCAAACTAACAATACAATACTGCTCTTATAATTGTCTCTGTAGTTACCTTTACCAAAGTTATACAGCTTTGATTTACTGCCTAGTGTCCTTTCATTTCAACCTGAAACACTCCCTTTAGCATTTTTTTAATAGAGTAAATCTAGTGGTAACAAACTTCCTCAGCTTCTGTTTATCTTTGAATATCTTAATTTCCTTCTCATTTATGAAGGACATTTTTGCTGGATATAGAATCAACCAAGAATTTTTTTTCCAGAAATTTAAATATATAATTCCACTGCTTTTTAGATCCTTGTTTTTGGGTTTTTTTTAATAAGAAATTTGCCATTGAACTAATTGAGGCTTTCTTGTATTTAACAAGTCACTTCTCTCTTGCTGTTTTTACTTTGTCTTTTGTCAGTTTGATTATAATCTGTCTCATTGTGGATCTCTTTGAGTTTATACTACTTGGAGTTCATGGAGCTTTTTAGATGTGTAGATTCATTTCTTTAATTAAATTTGGGAAGGTTTTCACCACTATTTCTTCAAATATTGTTTATGCTTTTTTTTCCTTCTTTCTGTAACTCTTATAATGTGGATGTTGGTCAACTTGATATTGTCCCACAAGTTCCCTAAACTCCATTTACTTTTCTTTATTCTTTTTTCTTTCTGCTTCTCATACTGGATAATTTGGGATGACCTGTCTTCAGTTTCACTGATTCTCCCTCTGCCTCCTGAACCCCTGTTGAACCCCTCTAGCAAATTTTTCATTTGAGTTATTGAACTTTTCAGCTGCAGATTTTCTATTTGCTTCCTTTTTATAATTTCCTTTTCTTAATATTCTCATTTTGCTTGTACATTGTTTTTCTGATTTCTTTTAGATCTTTGTTTATATTTCCTTTAACTTTTTTAACATATTTAAAACACTTGTTTTAAAGTGTTTGTCTTGAAAATCCATTGTCTGGGCTTCTCCAGTGACTGTTTTTGTTTATTTATTTTGTTCCTCTGAATAGACTTTACTTTCCTGTTTCTTTGTATGCATTTGATTTCTTGTTGAAAATTAGACATTGCGATATTATAATATAGTAATTGCAGGAATCAAATTCTCCCTTTTCTTGGGTTTTTTTGCTCTTGCCAAAGCTGTAGT